TGCAAGGTATTTCTAGACACATTTGGAAAATTATTATAAAGTGTTCTGTTCCAGAAACCTTGTCTCACATTGTTCATTTTCATTTCCTCACTTTGAGGAATTGTGAGCCATGTGCCAGGTTCCTCCCTAATTGTGAAGTTCTGTGCATTTTGTTTATTTTGTTGGTCAAACTACAAGACTATTATACACGCAAATTTCATTCAGGCACACAATTCTTTAGAGATTTTGCACAAATAAGAACATTTCTCCCTCTCTGTGTTTGTTCCTCTCCAGTGTTACTTGAGAAGAGTTGGGATTTAGGTTCCTGCTTCAGAATTGATTGACAAGAACAGTAACAAAACCAAGAGCAGCTCTCTTGTAAAAATATAAAGGACTGTGAGTTGTGGAGTGGTGGCTCTCAGGGCTGTGTGACTCCCCTGCTGCATGCTCAGCAGTTCCTTCTTCCTTGTAATACAACACATTTTTCTCTTACCCAGCACAATCCATAGAGCTTAAAAAGAAAATAAATACTGTTGTCATTGAGAGACTTCTGCTGTGGCCAAGCTGCAAGGTTTAATCTTTGAGAAGAGCTCATTAGAGGGGAAACATGCTTCAAAGTTTCCCTAAAACAGCTCCTCAAGTCTGTTTTTCCAAACGTGGATGTCTTTGCCAGGCTGACACCCCAAGTCCAGGTGCTGCTCCCCCAGTCCCAGTGGTGCTCAGGGAGCCCATGGAGCTGGAATATTGTTCCTCAACCGCCTTCTCCACACATTGTGTCACTCCAGCCACGCTGCACAGGGAATCCAAAACGCAGGAGATCACAGGGATATTCCTCAGAGCAGAAATGTAAAGCTTGGGTTTTCATGAGGAGGAAAGGATGAAGGCAAGACAAAGGCAATGTACTGTCTAAGGAGATGCTCTGGGTGCCCACAGGTGTGGAGCTGGGTTTAGGCAATACTCACCTCTGCCTCAGCACAAGGAATGCAGAGGGTGTTCTCATGCTGTGCCTACAGTTTGTTTTGTCTTACTGCCCAGTGCTGTTAAGTTTTTAGATCAGCTTAAATTTTAACTCCAGTGCCTCCAGTTAAAGTGATTATTTTCTAAATGGAAAAAACCAAATTCAGGGGAAGGGAGAGGATGATTTCTTCTGATTTTGGCAAGTGGAGAAATTATTCTACATTAAATCTTCCTTGCCTAAAAATGTTAGATCATTTTAGTTTTCCTCTTATTCTGGCATTGTTTCTACTGCTTGTAATATGGAAGATTCTTTGATTTTTGTTCATCTGGATGAGCTGTAAAAAACTTGTTATTTCATCCTTTCCTTTCATGACCAGAGGATCTTTTTCCTCACGTGGTTGAGGTTCTTAGGGCCCTTCAGGTTGCTCTTGCTGTATAGTCATTAAAAACAACTCTTGTAATTTCTCTATAGCATTTGTTCTGAGGAGAAGTTACTTTTTTGTATCCAACAGACACAACGTCAGGTCGAATGCGGCTTGGAGAAACCTGATCTGGTGGAAGGTGTCCCTGTCCATGGCAGGGGCTTGGAATGTGATGATCTTTGAGGTCCCTTCTTACCCCAAACTCTTCTGTGATCCTATGATTTGATCGGTATTCTTGTAGCCAGGCTGATGAGCGTACCTTCAGTTGGAATTTAAGAACAGCTTTGAAATGGGCTAAGTCTGCAACTTCTGAGAAGCACCTGGCTCTTCCCAGAAACTGTCCTAGAGATTTAATCTCAGCTTTTAATTTTAGTTTCTAGGACACTGCATATATTTACTACTTTGAGTAAAACCCTGAATTAAGCTGGTCAGTTTCTGGGAGTAAATATTTGTAAATAGCTACTTATTCCCTTGTGCCTGAGGAGCACTGTTCATGGGGTGTTTCTTTATCAGGATTTAAAACTGAGGTCCTGAGTGCCTACAAAATAAACCAATATCTATCTGGGCCTTCACAAGAGAAGTGAAACTGGTTCTTTTCTTTTGTTTTTTAAACCACTGTTTAGTCTTCATTTAATCTGCCAAGGCCTATGCAAGTTTAAATTGATTAAAATGTTCTCATTTCCTTTCCTGAACATGTTGTGTAATAGACTTCTTTAGCTTTTTTTAATATTTGCTCTGTCTCACTCCAGCACTGGTGGGTGAAGTAATTACCACATCAGATCAGTTGGCAGGATGCCTTGAAATCTGCCAGGTTGGGATGTGATTAGACCCAGCCAGTGCAGTTTACAGGTCATAGGCAATAAGTGCAAATTTATGGTGGAGAAAGGGGCATCTTCACCAGCTGTTACCAAAGGGTGCTGCTATGGTAATTTTCATGTTTCAGTCAAAAGACTTATTTTGGAACAAAAATATACTAATGGGTGCTATTTGTTTTGTTGTTCAGAAAACTCTTCCATATCTTCAGTCTCAAGGTATGCTGGTTTTGTGTTCCGTTTCTAAATACTACAAAAGCAAAGGATGACAATCTGTCAGAGTTTTAGGGATCTTTCCATGTTTTTTGGTCAGTTTGGTGTCATCATCATCTAAACACAGGCAGGCTGGACTGGAACAGATCTCTTGGGTCACAGCTCCCTTGTTTGTGCCTTTCACAGGCACTGTCATATTGCCCTTTCTGTGAGTGCATTCAGCTGTGTCTTAGTACTTGGGGTTTTTGTCCTCATTTGGGAAACTTACCAAGTATTGCAATTCTGAATGATCTTGTGATCTTTAAATTTCCCTTCTTGCTCCTGTCCTGTGTAAACAGTCAGAAAACTCCACTGCAGTTTAAGTTTAGATGAAGCCTAAAGGCAAGAGCAGAACTGGACTGCAGATTAGACAAAAAAATTTGCTAGTGTCTCCTGGAGGTATGTTATTCCTTCTTAAAGCTCTGCATTCTCAGAAACAAGCTGCACAAACATGAGATCAGAAATTACGTGCTTGAATTAGCTAACAAATAATGTTTCCCGACAGCAGCAGCAGCAGCAGTGCATAATCACATGCATTATACAAAGTATCAGACTGTATTTAGTACTAAATACTGCTTCTCCTTGGGCTCTTGTAAATCAGAGCTGTCTCGATGTTAAAAGACAAACACGGATTCAGATTGCAGATTCAGATAATTTGCTCCACCTACTCAAAAGCCAGCTATTTCAGGAGCGAATTTTAGTGAGTTATGAGTCCATCTCATGTTTCCAAAAGGCATTTCTTTACCAGTTTCCAGTGTTCATCCTATCACTTTGTCTTCTTTAGGTAATACATAAATCTATTAGAAAAGAGCGTCATCTATAACCTCCAAGGCCCCTTAGTGACAAGCCCCATTGTCAAAGGCAGGCACTTTGCCAGGAAACAGTGACTCCCAGAGAGAGTGTGCAAGGTTAGGGGGAAAGTGTACTATTGCCAGAGAAACTGTATTCCAAGTGGATTTGCGTGGAACAGCAACAATATCCAGTGACTGGTTAAATTAGCCACAGATGTGTTTTCTAGAACGCTGTCCAAGAAGATATACAGTACTTTAGGGCTTGGTTCAGGCATAATGATCTTCTGAAGTCAAATCAGATCCAAGCAAAATTGCATGGGTACCAGGGAAGCTTTAAAGGAATTCTGTAATATGATTCAGACAAGTAGATGAATCAGACTGCTGCGAGCTGAGCGAGGAGCACGTCGGTGAGAGATGAGGTAAGAGGACTGCACAGCAGCCTGGTGTGAGGAGTTTGCTGCTAAAATCCAGGCTGTGGCAGATTGCCAGGGCCGGTGCAAGGGCGTGTTGTGCCGGCCACCTGTCCGGAACGTGCGTGCGGAGCCGCATCTCCCCGGAGCTCCTCCAGCTTCCCCGAGCCATGAGCGCTCGGCTCTGCGCTCGCCGTCCCCGTGTGCCTCACTGTCCCCGAGCCACACCACCCATCCCTCTTCTTGAGAGGATAATTACTGCTGAGGGCAGTGCATTTAGTAAATACTTGGAGAATTTTCACGCGTTGAAATCAGTACGAGTGAAGGCTCTGGGACTTTCCTCGTACAGGTGAATTTTGTCTTGGCATCACAACTCTAGCAGTGCATGGGATTTCGGTCTGGGATGGCTGTTGAAAAGCTCAGCTTCCCTCCCACAGACGAGTTCTGACTCTCATTTTTAAAGTTCAGATAAGCCAGTGGAAAGAAGTCCTGTTGAATTACAGATCTGTTTATGCTCTAAAGTTCTGGGGAAACATAAGCAGCTTAGTTACTGTCGCAGTTGGAACAGGAAGCAAGAAAAGCTTTTGTTGTATTCTCTGACCTATTTCTTTACCGTGTTATTTACTTGAACTAAATTGGATATCGTGTATTAATCTAAATGGGCCTGGAAGTATTCAGTCTAGAGTCTCTTTGTAATAAGCATTAATGGTAAAAGTCAGATTTACAAAATAGCAGTTGGCAAGTTTCAGAGGAGTTATAAATTAAAATTTTCAAAATAGAAATGGCATATCTTGTGTATGAAAATTTTTCTCAGTTTCTCTTTTTCAGAGCTTTATTAAATGTTTTTAACATTTAATTTAAGTATTGGTGAAAATGTGAAAATGGATCTGTTTGGGTTTGCTTTGAATTTCCAGATACAGTTCCAAAGAGGAGGCAAATGCTGTGAATTTATTCAAAGAAATATTATTTTATTTTCCTTCTTATCTCTTACTAATAATTTGTTTTAATCAAATGAATTCTATTGCTTTGTCTCTACTGTTTCCAGTTTAATATCCTTTGAGGTCTGAATTCTGCTTCAGGAGATTTTGCACTTCTATTCTTAGGAATTTTTGCAGGTCACATGGAAGGCTGTGTGTGTGTGCATGCATGCGTGTATGTCTTTGGACAGCATACCAATAATTAGAAGAACTCCACAAAGTCATGGCTTCGCATCAGGAGAACTCACAAAAAATGAGACTTGACTCTGTTTTCAGGTATAGTGGCTGATTTTGCCCTATGGAAGCCAGACATTCTGACAGTGGCAGGATGTGTTTGTTCTAAAAGGGGAGTATTTTGAAAATGCTTGTACCTCTGGTGAAATTTCTTCTCTCTTTTCAGGGTCTTTGTAAACAGAAGTTTAGCCATGGAAAAGATAAAGTGCTTTGGTTTTGATATGGACTATACACTTGCTGGTGAGTATCTTCTAAGTTTTTTGAACACTGACTTAGTTTGGAATACTGTTTCTTGCTGAGCAAAAAACAGCAAAAAGCTGATTGGGCTACTCCAGTTAACAGGGGCTTCTTCTGTTAGAAAATGTATCTTTCACTATTTGTTGCACTTCCATTTTAGGTGTTTCCCTTAAATTTGTTATCTGCAAGCTGTATTTGGTCACAAGCCATGTTACTCTGGTGCAGTTTCAAGTGATTATGGGTGTCGAGAAAATCAAAGCTTAATAGGTCGGCTTCCTTAGATTCCACTGTATTTTGACAATGCCCCTTGTGCATACTTGGCTTTGAATAACAAGGTGATTTCTTTCATCCTTGGTGCATATAATAGGCTACACTTTTGGCCAGCAGGTTCTCTTGTGTCCTGGGAGAGTAATTTTTGAATAGGTTTTCCTCTTTCCCCTTCCTGGGATAGCCACATCAGTGACTCATTTCAAGAAGAGGCATGGCAAGGGGAGTGCCTTGTGTCAGCTGAATGAGTTAATTCATAAAGCTTTGCTCATTCTTTATGACAGATAAGCTTTGTGAGGTTGTATAAGATCTTTCAGTTTCATTAGTTTGCATGACTTCTCCATCTTTCAGATACTCAGCAGGCAAGTTTCCTGAGACTTTTGATGAGAGGAAATAAAGCTACCATTTTCTTCATAGTCAGACTTTCATGTTATGTATTTTAAGATAATTAAGATAATAATAATATCTTTTAAGAGAAGATAAAAAGCTAACTTCCACTTTCTTAAGTTATAGTATCACACAGGCTGGCTGTAACTGTGTTGGTGTCATATACCGTCCTTCCTTCTTTCTCATTACCACTTCCAAATTAATGGATAAAAAGTTCCTATCACCATTAATATTTCAGTTTAGAGTTGTTGTGTATATGAACTGAGAAAATGTGAGGTACGGTGTCAGGGTCACCTAATAATAGGTTAATGCAGTATGTCAGCTATGGTCATCTGGTTACTGTGTACTGAGAAGGAATGAGAGATGAGTAATGTGGCTGGGGACAGTGTGAGGGTCAGAGCTGGGGTCAGAGGCTAAGTGAAGGGCAGGAAGGTTTCCATAGGCTCATGGTTCAACCGCAAGGAGCAATTTTGGAGACTGTGGCAGGTAGTTGCAGTTTATATTTAGATCAGTTCCTTGTGTTCATTTATCTACAAGGAAGTAGTTACATATAAAAGGTTCAACACCTTATTTATACATCTGTTTAAAGTTCTTGCCACTTTTTAAGTCATGAAGTATATCGTTATTAATCTGGATATGACAGAAGGCACGTGCTTTCTGTTTGTGTTTCCCAGCTGTGACAGTCTTATGGCAGTGCTTTTAAGGGGTGCATGAAGTTGTTCAAAAGCAAATGCTTTTAAAAAAAGAAAAGAAAAGAAAAAGTTGTGAGTTTCACTTCAGTAACAGAAAAACAACTTCTGTGCCTTTTGCAAAGAAAGTGGCAGCACTTCCCAAGGACCCAGGTGATCCCACTGGGGCTGGTGTGAAGCATGAAGTTTGTTGCTAAATTTCATCCTGGCAGAAGAAGAGCTTCAGCACTGTCCTCACTTATCTGAGTGTTCATTTGACTCAAACGTTCTTTGTTCCTGTAAACACAGAGCAAATGTGTAGGTATCCACAAAATGATGCTTGATTTGATGAGAGGACAAAATGAATTTTTCAAGCATCCTAAAGCAGTACAAGGGACATAAAAACATGGGGCTTCCAAGGCTGGAAGATCACAGTGCTCCAGGTTGAGAAGGCTAAGTCAGTGCATTTAGGGGAGTTGAGTGGCAGGGTGTGAGGCAGAAAAAGAAATGAGATATGGTCTGAGCAGAAAACTGTAAATCTAGACCCCTCTGGGATAAGCTACTGTACTGTGACTTCTTCCATGGTACAACAGAGCTAATAGTTGCAGATCATTTCACTAGGAATTGTGAGAATGAAATTATGTTGGAACACCTTTTGCAGATGAAAAACATTATGACTGGTAAGTACTATTTCCCTTTTTTCCACTCAAACTGGAAATTAACCTTTAAAATTACCTGATTGTATTCTTATGTCTCAGAGTCATCCTTTCCTCTCCCTGTGGGCTTTTATTATCTGACCATTATTAGCTACTTATAGCTTTCATACAAGAAAAAATACTAATCCACTGTGGGGACTTAAAGATTGCAGTGTTAGAATATGATTACAATTATAATAAATTAATTGGAAATGATAATGAAGAAGTGGGACAAGCGAAGTATTACAGTAATATGCTGTAGTTAGTGCATTCATGAGACCCTGTTGTGTTTTCTGATTGGTCACATTATCCTTTACCCACTCTTTCACATAGACATGCTACTTGTCTTGATTTTTAAAAAAAAAAAAAAAGGAAAAAAAACCCCAATGTAAAAAGCCAGTTTATGTGTAATTTAACATCTGGAAATGGTATCTGCATACCAGATGGCGCATGCTGAGCAGAAGCCTTTTGGAGACCGTTCAAAACACGTAAATAGGCCAAGGAAAAGAGCAGAAACGTCTCCAGTGTCATTAGCTCCTCATCTAGTTTTCTGCATTTGTACTTTCATTGCTAGGCGATTTTTCTGCAATGCTTTTTGAAATATCCCAAGCACAATCTTCCTATTCAACAATTTAAGGCAGGCAGAGTCATTGACCCTGCCAAAATCTGTATGTGACATCCCCTTCTACTGTGTGCTTTCACATCAGAAATAGTCTGATGACGGTAATACATTTGCCATCTCAGAAGAATGATTATTTTGATACACATTGAATTACCTGTCGTGTAAAGGAGTATTGCTGTCTTGTCTCTTTCTTCTTTCCAAATCAATGACCACTGGTAGCACCAAAATCTTCCTTCGGAGGTGGTTCAGTACCAGTAAAGTCAGAATCGTTTCATGTTTTTTGAACTTTAGAAGCTTGAGACAGTTTTATTCTTGTACCTTATGAATTTAAGGACACAGATCTACTTACAATAACCCTCTTTTCTGTCTAGAATAATCTAATTTTGGTAGGGACATGGCATTTCCATTTTGAAGTCTGTAGTAACAGCTACCATGCACATGCTGCAGTGATCGTGTTCTACTACCAGCATGTCTGAGAATGTCAGCTTGCCAGCTGAGAGCAGTTTTAGTATCATCATGTTACATTGTACATAAAGTACAATTTCATGTGTTATAGAGTAATATTTCTTAGAGTTACTAAATTAAAGAACCACTTAACTCAGAATTTAAAATAATTCAAGGCTGTCTGATCCAGCATTTCCACAGTGGTTTTGTTTGCTTTCAAGCCAAAATTAGGTGAAACTTCAAATTATTGTAAACAACTCCTGTGTTCCCTGATTGTGCTTGACTCTCCTTGCATAGGGTTGAGAAATACTATTAATGGTTGGGTTGGGCAAACAAAGTCTTTTTGTGTAGAAGAGCCTGAAGGTTTTAGCTTTTTCTTCTGAGAAAGGATGGGCCCTAAATAGCTGAATTTGTAATCACAGTGATTACATGTAGAATTAATTTTGACTGCTGGGAAAATAAAATTAAAGCAAATTGAACTAACTCTCACAGGTTTTAGATTTCTTGTTTTCCCATAAAGGATTGTTGTATTCTCATGGGATAAGATCTATTATGTGTATGGAAAATCCCAAATCTCCCTAGGTTAATGTTATAGATACACTAATACTAGAGGTTCAGAAATCTGTGTTATTTATGAAACTGGCTGTCCCCTTCCTATTCAATCTGTTTGGGAATCACATTTAGTACATAAAATAATGGTTTTTAAAGCTAGGTGTTACTGGGAGGCAGGTGGAAGGAGCAGGAGGAGCAGCAGAGGTTGACTGTGGTTTGTGTGCTTAGTTAAGTAGATGCTGTTTAAAGTGTTGCAGCAGTTGACACAAGCAAGAGTCATCAGCTATTTCAGCCCTTGCTGTTAGTGGAGGTTAAGACAAGTTTCTGTGATGTTATGCAGCCCTTCATTCCCTGCCTCTGGCCTTGCTGCCTGCCAGCCTGGGAGCGAGGCCCTGCCAGTTCCCTACGGTGCCCTTGCTCCTTGGGAAGCCACGGCATTACACCCAGGGCTGAATTTGCTGTCAGGGCAGAACTGAGAATTATTGAATGATTCCTGTTTAAAATAGAGAGATTGAAGGTCCTTTTGTAGGTTTTTTTTGTTTGCTAAATCGTAGTTTCATTTATTATCTGAATGATTTATCTCTGCTTATTTACCCAGGCAGAAGATCAACAGTCACAAACAATTCTGGTCTGCCTCCCTTTTTTCACCAGTACTGTCAAAGCTGCCTGTGTTTTGGTAAAGGAAAATGTTCCATGCAATCCAAAAGATTCACAGCCTTCTCTGTTTTGTGTTTACTGCTAAGTGCAGAAAGTAAAATAAGGGTATGTCAGTGGAGAGTCTTCACTGTGCACTCACCTGAGCCTGAGGAGTTGCTGACATCCATTGGAAATGCAGCAGGGACAGATTGGTTTCACACAGCATTTTATTTGGCTGCTTCCTACTCAGTGTGAGCTGCACTTAATTATTAGATCTGGATCCAAATAATGCAGGAGGCCTTGGCATTACCAGCTCTTAAATGGGACAGGCTGCACAATGAGGTGATGGATAGATGTCCCTTGACAGGAGCAGAGCTAAAGCAGTGGGGTTCCCAAACTGGCTGTAATTTCACACTGGGCCATTGGCAAATAGAGAGACATAGTAAGAATTACAAACTCAATTGTGCTTGAAAAGATTCCTCTGTGACTACTTTTCTCCAAAAGTTACAGCCTTGTTGAAAGTTTTATCTTCTATATGAAACAGATAAGAGGTAATATCAGTAGACAGGATGCTTTCATTTAGAATGCTTTTCCTGTGCTTAATTCATTGCTGCTTCTGTGTTCTCCTGAAATTGATAATAAAATTATCAATGGCTGCTGAAAACAGTTTCAATAAAAAAGGAGGGGAAATGAGGCTTGAAAAATACTGGTTTTATTGTGTGCAAATGTGAT